TTTGTTGTACATACGTTTAACTTGTTCCAAATACATATATATATTATTTGAAACAAGTAAAGTGTGTGCTGTTTATTCATTGTTTAATTCATTGCTAACAAGTTACACACACCTACTGCAGAATAATCCTAAGCCCAACAACATAGTATACATTTATACTATTAAGAAATATAAGTAAAAGACATATATTTCGAAAATTGGCAAAAAGAAGAAATTGTATACATAATATTATTTTCTTAAATCTGACAGTGAGCTTACTTAGACACAATAGCATTATAGAGAAAACTGTAACATGCAGCCCCTTTTAAGACTTGTACAAACTATATCATTGTAGGTCATTCCCACTATACATAAAGGAGGTTACAACCTCGAGACATTACCTAACTGACCAATAAAGTCATTCCCACTATACATAAAGGAGGTTACAACCTCAAGACATTACCTAACTGACCAATAAAGTCATTCCCACTATACATAAAGGAGGTTACAACCTCGAGACATTTTTGCTGTTATGTTAAACTTAGGTTCCTCGTCATCAAATTTGAATTCACCACACAGATATGAAACAGGTCTGTTGTACAAAGACTTTCATTATAAAGATAGAAGGAAGGAACAAGTGTAACTAATGTTGTTTTATTATTTTTTACCATTACAACCAGCTTTTGTTTAAAAGTACAGAATAGTGTTTTAATAACAAACAATGATTAAGTGTTCTTGGTGATTGTCTTGTGGTTTATATTCTGTTTAACTACTTGATGTTCCGGTACTGCTAGATCTGATGATCCCATAGCTTCTACATGGTGTTTTTAGTTGTAGCTTTAATAGATTCAATGTTCATCTCTGGATTGAAAGCTTCATTCAATGATGTACATATTTACATCTACCTAGTTCTCGTATCATTGTCTGTTATCACATCTATAAGTTGATCACATGACAATGACTTTAATTTCACATGGAGCATGCAAGTAAGGTAATTGGGTAATCCATTCCAAATCTTTGACCAATGTCTCTTCTTCCGTCTGTATCCTGCTCTGGAACTTGAAATACTTTCTTCTGGTGTGATACTTCAAACCTGTTGGGTGAGGCAGTTACTAATTCATGAATGTTGTTAGGGTTCTTGACTAGAAGGTTTGTTAATTTTTCTATAGTGTTCTAAAGTATGTATCTTTGGGCATCCTCAAAAGAGAAAAACCTAAATACTGACTAAGTAGTATGTTTGGCAGTCTTTGTCCATATGACCTAAATGTACACTTCACCTTCCTATGATTTTAACACACATATTTTCTATTTTTGCAAGTTTATTTATTTACCTTTACTTACATTTATTTTATCTTACTTGTAATTTCCTTAATATTTTTCTATTTCATTACAGTAGACAATAACCTTAAAGTAAAATGTAGACTGTTCAAATATTTTGCTGTCTGTGTTAGTTATAGCACATATTGTCAGATATAAAACACTGTTTAATGTAGGTAGTATTATTACTTACTTTATTTTGTGTTTGTAATGCATTGATGTGGAGGCTATCAAACGTTGTGTGCAATATATTGATGTCGAGGCTATAGAGATTTCTAGAAGGCCTAAGTGATAGATGTATAAATAGCTGCGACCAAATGAGAAACAAGAGAAAGAGTAAAAGTCACAGGAAAGAGAAGTTTGATGAGAGAAAAGCTAGAAAACAAAAAATTAACCGTTGTAGGAGTGAAAGGCCTAATGATTGATATGTTAGAATGGATTAATAGTGTGATAGAGATAAGGAAAATAATTTATCTTGTCAAAGGGTGTTTTAAGCTAATTGAACCTGTTTGTGTGGACTTTGACAAAAAGCAGACAATTGTTTGGAAGCATGAGAAAAGCAGACAATTACTGGAAGTACAGGATACAACTGTGGTAACTCACACGACAGCATAAGTGAATTATATATGGATACTATTGCAATAAAATAGAGAAAAATTGTTCGACTTGTCAACTGAATTCTAAAGCGGACAAGAAGAAGAGAACTGGATAGGGTTTAAAATACAACTATGATCTCCATAGTGTAAAGAATTTTGTATATACATTCAACTTGTTTCTAATATATATATTATTTTAAAAACAAGTGGAGTGCGTGCTGTTTGTTTAATGTCGAA